AATTTTGAATTGATATCCATGGTTTGATCATTAATTTTTGAGGTTCTAATTTTATTATAGGATTTGTTAAGAGTTTATTTAAGATCTAGAATCTGATTAGGATTTGGTAAGGATTAGGATTTATTTAGGATTTGATTTAAAATTTGACTATGAATTGATTAGAATTTATTTAGGATTTGTTTAGGATTTGTTTAGGATTTGATTAGGACATAAGATTTATTAGGATTTTATTAGGATTTGATATAGGATTTGATTAAGATTCAATTAAGGTTTCAATTAGGATTTGACTTAAGATTTGATTAATGTTCAATTAGGATTTCAATTAGGATTACATTAAGTTTTTTATTTTTATTATTTTTTTAGGATTCTTTGTTATTTCTTTAAAAGTTTCTATTTCTAGTATTTCTTTAAGATTTCTTATTATTTTTCTTTAAAATTAATTTAGAACTTTTTTGTATTTCTTACATAACTTCTTTTAAATTTATTTTGGATTAGTCAAAATTTGATTAGGATTTTTAAGGTCTATTTAAAGTTATTTAAGATTCTATTAGACTTGATAGGATTATTTTTGCATTTCTACTTACCTTCCACAACTAGGTGCTTAGTGCATTCTCAAGGAAGAACACATGTAATACAACAATTTGTTTCTTTTTGAGCCATATAAGATAGTAAATATTCTAAGAAGAAGACAAATACCATCGCCTCTTATAGAAGTGGGCAATAATCAAGAATTTAAGGTGGAAGAAGCCTTAAACTTAAGGCAGCACCAACTTAGGTTAGAATATCTTACTCATTGGTATAGATATAATATTAGAAAATACTCATGAGAGCTAGTAAAAAAACTTACAAATGAAAAAAAATTGTGAAAGCTTTTCATCAATGATATCTATCAAAATAAAGATGAAGGATAATAAATCTTTGCTATAAAAGAAACATAATTTAGAAAAGATAGCATTCTAACTTCTATCTTTATTTGTAGTTTTTATGTAATTGTGGTATTAATAAGATAGAGAATCAACAACTAGCAGATTCAACTCAAGAGCCATTATTTGTTGACTTACTAGTTGAGACATTATAATTATCACAACCTTCAAGACAACATAATAGAGATAAAGACTTTCAAAAATGGCATATTTTTTCTTGAATAAATAACAAAATACAATGAATTTGATATCATGACATGAAAAGAGAGTGTCAATGTTTGGTGATTTTATTAGAAGTAGAAACGACTCCTGATGGTGTTACAAATATTTTGATAAAAAAAAAAGTTACAAAGATCCCACAATAATCAAATAATATGGTGGTCTTCTAGCTTTGGAATAAGACATTACCTTCAAAAAACACAAAGATCAAAATAAATGACAAATGAGAAGACTTATTAATTACCTTCAAAAATGGCTGAGAAGACTTATTAATTACCTTCAAAAAACACAAAGATCAAAATAAATGACAAATATAATTTGTTGTATCTTAGACTTCTTCAATATGCAATCATCTCTCTTTGTGGAACTTGTCTGTAGAAGGGGACATAATGTCATGGACATATATTTATTATAATTGATATCTTAATAATATAAATAAGTGAAAATAGATAAAAATTAATTAATTTTATAATAACTTCATAAAAAGATTTTTAAAATATTCATAGATATTGCTTTGACTTTACATATACTTATAGTTGATTGATAGATTAGAAAATTGGTCAACAAATTAACCACGTGCCATGCATGATGGTACCTTGCAAAACAAGCTAACTATATGGTAGTTATATAAAAAACTTGCCTTGTAAATTAAAATGCGTGTTGTACAAAGTCAACACATTTTGGAGGTCCTATAGAACCTTGTCACCTAGTTCTAAGGAAGATAGTATATATAAAAGCAAGAATGAAGCTTTCTTCACTCTTGTCAATTCTTTTCTTATTTCTAGTGTAATTTCAAGAAGTCTCTAATTTTCTTGTCTTTTGGCAATATCCATTTCTATTTCTTTTTAATATACATACTTCTTTATTTCTATTTTAACATATTTCTTTAAGAAAATCTCACTTATTTTTTTTTTTCATTAAGTTCTTGTCCTTAACAATTATGCATCTCTAAGTTTTTGTAATATAAAACAAATATAAAATTTAAGCCCTTTTGTATTCTTAGAGTAGATTAAAATATTTTTTATTTTAAAAACAATAAATTCATTAAAAAAACTTTTGAAAAAACATCATTTAGTAAATATAAAAAGTAGCAAATACATTTATAAGTCAAAAAATCATGATATTATATTCAAACTATTCATATTTAGTTTAAAATATAATCTATCATTTATCTTCTTTTTTAATATGTATGAGGTTGTATGCTCCTAGAAAATCTATTTTTATGTAGATCTTTGCTTGATTCAATTAATTAATAGCTCTTATATCAAAAGTTGAAGATACCTATTTCTGATGGTAATCTTGTTGAATCTTTAATAATTGACACACACTTGTAATAATCTTTCTTAATTCTTCACAAATAATATTAAAGCTTTTATTAGAGATTATGAATGGCATCTAAAGTTCTTAGCCAAATTCTTATCAATGTATTCCTTAAATGTAGTCAACTTGTTTTGTAATAAGTTATAAATTGATTCAAATAGTAGTTGAGCTCCTTCTTGAAGATTAATTGAATAATTATAAGAACAATGTTCTTGAAGAATATTTATATTTTTTTTCTAAAAAATATCTTAGTAATCTTCATATTGACTTGAAATACGACTTAAAGTCTTTTAACCATAAATAATGATTATATCATAAACAACAAAAAGTAATCATTTTTTACAACATACATGAAAGTTCTTGCACCTACTATTAAGAGTTTGTTTATATTAGACTTATGATTTTTTACTTGAATATGAAAATTCTAAAATATGCTATGAAAAAAACTAAAGTTACATAAAATTTGATTTATTTGAAGATTATAGTTCTTTGACCATGATATATCTAAAATAATTGGATTGAAAAAAGATCTAATAACAATAAATATTACTAAGATATTAAGACCATTAGTTGTTACATCTAATAGAATAGTTTAATGGATAGCATCTCCAAAAGATAACAATTGACCATCTATAACTTCTACATGCACAAACTTAGTTTTTTTTAACTAAAGATATATCTTATTCTTTAATAATATCTTTATTTATAAAATTTGCAATGACCATTAATAAATCTCAAGTACAATTCTTGAAGAACATAGGATTAGATCTTAAAATCTCTATATTTTTATATTAATAGTTACATATTGTCTTTTCACAATAGACTTCTTCAAATATAATCATGATCTTATATTTTAAAGATAATGAAGACAAAAATATCATTTTAAATATACTTTATTCTAAAAAAAATTAAATTAGATATATAAGTTGTATTAAATAAAAATTATATTTAAAAATAATATTAAAGAAATATAAATGGTTCTATTGTTATATATATATATATATATATATTTTAGAATTATTTTAATTATATATGTTTAAATTTCATAATGACACTCTTGTATTTACAAAAAAATATCAAATATTTTTGTTAAAAATATTAATTTTATTATTTCATAAACTTTTTAGTTGAAATTTTGACAAGTTGAAAGATTATTATGGACTTTTTATTTATTTCTTTTTTATAATTTCTTTACTTCTCTTTTAAAAATAATGGTTGAATTATCTTGAAAATCTAAATAAAAAACTTATTTTAATCTTAATACTAATTCAATTTTTTTCTATTATTAATATTCTATAAAATATAAGTATATCACAATAATTAAAAATACATTAAGATATATCATGTATTCATATATTACACATGAATTTATAAAAGATGAGATTAATTAATTTAATTTATATTAAAATACATATATATATATATATATATATATATATAAACATAGAGATGACTTGAATTTAATTATAAATATATCATACTATAATTTGTCATTTCAAATAATGATATATATAAAAAAAATTATTTTAAGAATTAAAATTCAGTTAATATCTATTTAGTATTTTTATTGTTTATTTCAGATAATACATATTTTTATTATTGTATTTAAATAAATAAAAACTTGTTTAACTAAAGATTCTTTAAGTAAATAAATATAATATTTTTTTGTTGATCTTTTTTTATTGGTCCTATATGATAATAACATTTTATTGGAATATAAAAATAATTAGTTCATTAATATTTTAATATATTTATATTTAATTTTTTAATTTTTTCTATAAATACAATAAATTACATGTGTTATACAAATATTTATAATTTGTAATAGAATTTTTTTGTAGATTTGTATATATAATAATAAAAATTTTATTCACTAGATTTATCATACATAGATCATTAACTTCATTCTGTATATACAAATACAATGAATATAATTGTGTACCTCACTATTCAAACATGCTCAACTTTGCACTTCTATGTGGAACAATGGCACAATTGACTTATTAAAGAAAAATTCTAATAATTCTTGGTCATGCATGTATCTACTTACTTTGAAGTTTTTGTTATTCATTTCAATTGACAAGAAAGAAAGGAAGAAAGAAATATATATATATATATATATATATATATATTTTCATATATAATCTTTGAAAAAAATAAAAATAAAGTTTACAAAAGGGTTAGAATTCTCTAAAGAAATGCAACATCAATCAATTGTAAAATGACTTGACACAAACGTTGGAGAGTGTGAACATTGACCATTAAAATGCTACCTCATCACACAATTTGCATAAAAAGTTGCTCTTCACTATAATCAAATGTGAAGTAATGAATGAGTTTTTGTGAAACTGTGAACTGATATTGTGCAGGGAGCTGGGGAAAACAAAAGAACAAACAAGGCATGGGGAATTGAAATGAGACTGCAAACCAAACCCGGCAACCATGCTTGTGGGGTCATTTAGCTTCGTCTTGTGCCAAGTGTGCCAAGGGGAGGGGGTGTGTGTGTGTGGGGAGGGCAGGGGCTGCGTGATCTCACCTCGAGTCCATCGCACCCAGTTGGACGATGCGCAAGAGTGTGGCAGAGCTGCAGAAGAGCACTTGGATTGAACTCAGTGTGCAGCTGGGTTTTGAATTCAGCGTCGTTTTCTATCACATGCCAAGAACAATCACAATCACAAGCACTTAGCAAACCATGGCGATGACGCATTCTGGGCACCCAGCTCGCTTCATCCCGGAATTTTGCGCTTATACCTGCTTTCAAGCGAATATGGGCTTTTTGTTGATGCTGTAGCGCCGCTTGCTATCAAGAGATTCCCCTCCTGTGATCGATCTTGTGCGTTGCTCGTAGTATTTTTTGTTTTTGTTTTGTTTTGTTTCATATAAATATATATATATATATATATATATATGCGAATGACAGGATTCGCATCCTCATTCGAAAGTTTTCCCGCCCCTTGTGGAATTTGCGGAAGGATTCGCCGTTGATTGGACTGCCGAGGTAGATTTGGTGTCAACTTCTCTTTCAGCTCGTCGTTTGGTTGTGGTTGTGATCGTGGCGTAAGGATTTTGAGGAGGCTAGGCTGTGTTGTTTGCATGGGCGAACCAGGTGTGAAATGTCGGGCTGTAGTGGTTGTTATTAGCGTGAGAAGTGAGGCGGCTTCTGATTGGAAGGTTTGAATTTACTAGCGTTAGAAGTGGGATTGAGTGGGATGAGTTGGTTTCGTTCAAGTTTGTTTGATTGTGTCTGTTTTGCGGTTGAAGTAGAGCTATCTGCTGTATTTTCCGTTTAAGCAAGTGGGTTTGATGAAGCGTGGATTGATGGATCAATATTTGTTTTGGCAAGGCGAGGAAGTGCGGGTCACTAAACGGATAGAGTCCCGGCATGCGAACGGGACGGCTGGGAGGAGACATATTCGGTGGAAATCGATCGCCTTTTGTTGAAGGAATTTAATTGAGTGCTGATTTCTTACGCTTTGTGGTCATGTGAGTTAGTTTGTGCACGGCAGAGACATTAGTGGCGAGCTGGAGCTCGATGTGGCAACACTTGTGTTGAGTAGCTTGCATTGGAACATTCCTGATTTCATTGTATTGAAACTAAAAGAGGAATGATTTTGAAGTTTTTAAGCAAAATCTAGTCAGAAGAGAATCAGGGTTGGTCGCAAACGATGAGCATGAAGCTTGATTGGTTTCGTTGTTCTTAAGTGGGAACCTTGTAGCGGGTGTTTTGTCAACCCCAATTTTTCACCCTCCAAGAGGATTGTCTCAGCTTTCTCTTAGTTCGGGAGCTGTGTATGTGTAAGATTTTGTAGATCAGCCTGCCCTCTGCTTGAGCGCTCTCAATCAAGATTTTGAGTAGTGCACATCCACAAAATGCTTATAATTGTACACTAAAGAATTAGCTGTGATTTGAGGTTAGTGGGTTCTTTTATATTTATCTGCTGGATAAGAAATCAGGGGCGCTGGAGGTGGTAAGGAGAGTAGTGAAGTGCGGCCCTATGCAGCGTCTGCAGGAGCTGCTGCTGAGGCACAGGTTTACGGCAGCCGACTCATCGTCAGGAGGTGAGATTTGGGTTTTAGGAATATGTTATAAAGTGTCCGCTGACGCCAACGATGAAGCTGTTTCGGCTCACGCTTTTGAAGAATTTCTCAATGATTTCAGTTCCCGCATCTGGATCACATATCGAAAAGGTTTGTTTTCTTTCCGTTCTTTCTAAAACTATTAGTGCATGCTAAACTGATGGGCTGTTGAGGTTGAAGGGAACGTGCCACTCAAACAAATGCTTTCATGTTTCCTTTGGACCTTCTTTCATCACTTCTCGTCGCACGGAAACTGAAAGAAGTTCAATTTTGTGGATTCTTTTGCTGCTATTGTGATACACTCATCTTGCTAGTTTGCCTTCTTTGCGCCGATGTGTTGCTGCAGGTTTTGAAAGTTTGGGTGAGTCAAAGTTGACAAGCGATGTGGGGTGGGGATGTATGTTACGCAGTGGTCAAATTCTTTTAGCTCAGGTAGTCCGTTTTTGCCCTTGCTTGGATCTATAAGTCTCATCTAATTCTTTGTTGCAGGCAGAAACTTGATAAGTTGGTCTCTTGCGCGTGCTATGTCGGTTTTTTTGTTGTGAGCACTGAACTATTAAACCTGGGCATGCGATGCAGGCTCTTGTTTGCCACTACTTGGGCAGAACATGGCGACGGAACGCTTGCCAGGTTGTGCTTATTTTTCTCCACGCATGTTCACTTGTGAACCTGGCGCTTTCTTTCTAAGGATGTTGAGTGTTTGATTCTTGGCCTGTTTTGGCTATCTGATGTGCACATGACCTGTTCCGAAGCTGTTTTTGAAACTTATTTAATCTGTTGTACAGGAATGTTTGCAAGAGTATCTGCAAATTTTGCAAAGCTTTGGTGACTCTGAATCGTGCTCTTTCTCGATTCATAATTTGCTGGAGGCGGGTAGACCTTTTGGCTTGGCTGCTGGGTCTTGGCTCGGACCTTACGCTCTTTGTAGGACACTAGAAGCGCTGGCAAAGGCAGACGAGGATCAGAATGCAAAGAAGGGTGGCAAGCGAGCATTACCATTTGCTGTATATGTTGTCTCTGGGGAAACTGAGGGTGACAGAGGTGGTGCACCCGTTCGGTGTGTGGAAGATGCAGCAGTGCTGTGCTCCAAGTGGGGAGAGGCTACTGAAGAATGGAGCCCCCTGGTGGTGCTCGTGCCCCTTGTCCTTGGCCTTGACAAGTTGAACCCTAGGTTTGTGTCATTGCTCCATTCTGCTTGGCCTTTGCATCATTTTCTGAAAGTGGGAATGTGTGCAACAGTGTCGAGTATTGATGTGAGTGATGACATTTAGCTTTGGATAACCTTACTGGAACCTTCACGGTTATCAGATGTCTTTTCTTTTATTGGAGATCTCGTATATTTCAAATTGAACATGTGATATTTAGGCTTCACCGGTGCCCACGTGTTTCAAAGCTCAAGTTAAGAGATGACTTCCTCCTCTTCTTCTTTTTCATTTTGTTTTGTTTTATTTTTGGTTCAGAATTTTAGGGGTATTAGGACCCTTTGAAGTTATCACAGAGTTGCCATTGTTTTGTGAAGGTATTTGCCATCGTTGAGGGCGACGTTTACTTTACCTCAAAGCCTTGGAGTTGCAGGTGGTAAGCCAGGAGCTTCTACTCACTTGATAGGTGTTCAAGGTGATCAGGCGATGTACTTGGACCCCCATGAGAATCAGCAGGTGGGATATGTGTGGATATATTGTGCTAAATGTGCAGTAGCCCTCTTACAGAATTTGCTTAGTCACAGTGACGGTTAACAAACATTCAGAGCTTGCGAATGAACTGCACAAAATTGCATAGACGTTTCTATAAAGCATAGAGAGCTGATGATTTACAGCGATGATGTTGCAGGTTTTTGCAGTAACACCTGAGAATTTGGAGCTGGACACCAGCTTCTATCATTGCAGGTAATTGGTTTACATTACTACACAAATTCTAGTAGAGTTCGATTGAAAACATGTACAGAAAGTTTACTAGATACATTACATAAAGAATTGCTAGTTGTGATTGACATCAAATGATTGGAGATCATTCGAAGGATATCGAAATATGTCCTTTTCGATGTAGACAAAAATTTGAAGATGCTGGGTATGCATTTAGAAGTTATTTACGTCTTTCACCTTTCAGATGTGCATCTGGTGTATTTTATGTAACAACGGACTGGTGACTTGGAGTTGTGTTTTCTGGGATGAAACTTACTACAGTGTCGTGCGGCGTCTCCCATTGGATTCGATTGATCCATCTCTTGCTATTGGTTTCTACTGTCGGGATCGAGGTAAGTCTGCATCATTTGTTTGTATCTACAGATGTTTCATGGCAAGTTTTTTTTACCATTTGTTCAGGTGATCAGAAAACTGTGATCAACTTTGTGAATCTTCTTTTGATGAAGGGTTCCTACGCTGTTGGTTTCTTCTAATTGCTTGAATTTGTTGGCCTTGTGTATCAGCCGAATTCGATGATCTCTGTGCGCGTTCATCAGAGTTGGTCAAGCAATACAACGGTGCACCCATTTTTACTGTTGCCGAGAAGTCTGCTCCTTCGAAGCTACAGAACAGCAGCGACATGGGTCTGGAAGAATCATTTTCTAAAGACCCTTCATCTGAAGACGACTGGCAAATGCTTTGATGGTAATGTTGGAGTCGTGCCGTCGTTGGACCCAGTATGCCATCCTTTGTTCTATAGAGTTTTTCAGGATCGAATGGTGTGATGTCCAAGCACTCAAACTTATGATTTTGATTCCGCATGACACTCAGCTATTGATGACCTTGCAGCAACCTTGGAATGCTGTTGTATAGAACTATTCGTTCAATCATCTTTCTAGTTTGAGTTTTATCTATTTCTTAAGGTATTCAGTATTGTATCGGTTCGTTTCCATTAATTTGTACATATTCCATCTGTGATTACATTTTCTTGAATAAATCAGTTTCTTTTTTCATCTCATTTTCCGACATTGATTTGATACCCACATGCCCATCTATTTTCAATAATTCTTCTGTCCCTGAATATGGCATCGATCAATATCTGCAGGCAAGAGATCCAACATCTGTCTTAGACTGTGAACAACGTTTAACTCCATAAACTTGGAGCTTGAATCACGATTCTATATAAAAAAATTTATAAATAAATAAATAAATAAAAACTAAAGCTGTTCAGAATAAGCAATTAGTCATAGCAGAATCTTGAAAATGTTGCTTTATTACTATTGACAATACCTGTTCATCGCAATTCGATGAGAGGATTGCGACGTTACAATATGGATCACTTCGATGATGTTTACATGAAAGCCGCAGCACATGCCTCAATTTCTCGACCACATAATACACTCGAAATGGAGCTAACTGCAACTACTACTAGAACACCTTGTACAAAATAATACAGCCTCTGCATGCTCTCCTGGGCTAGTTCAAACTCCTGGTTCTGGAGAGAGCAGATCTAATGTGTGTATAGGGATGGTTGAGCTCAGGTGGGTATCAAGACATGATGTGTGGTAGTTTGAACACTAGCAAGGCATCTCTCAAGGGCGCGGGTTTCGATGGCAACGGCATCTAGATCTGCCTGCACGCTCTTGACATCGAGTGAAGATGTCTGAAGCTCCTCCAGCTGGGCTTGCAATTCGGCGATGTCACGCCCAGTCTTGTCCATCTCCAACACTCTATCCACAATGACTGCGAACGTCTCGTGAATGGTAGTCAACTGCCGGTACGATTGGCGACACACAGGGTCCTTCTTAGCATCTCGAAATACCAGCTCGTCCACGAGAGCATAAGTGCGGCGAAGCCGATCGTTAGTGGCATTGCTGTCACGCTGTAGATCACGAGTATCAGTTGTGATTTTTGCGATGTCCGTCTCCTGCTTCTGGCTGTTCTTGACGAGCTCCGTAATGCGGAAAACGTAAGATGATCTCTTGGGTCGTCCGGAGATTTCTTTCAAGTCCATTTTCAGCGTCCATGCCTGTTCCTCCCGAACACGAAGTTTCTCCTTGGAGCGCTGAAGTTGTTGGCGGACGTTTTTAAGCTTCATCATCTTCGATGTTATGTTTCCTTCCCCGGTGACTTCTTGTTCCAACTCGGCTTTCTTCTCCTCTAAGGGTCGCCTCACCGCCTCCCATTCGGCCTGCAAAGCCGCCATGTGCTGCTTCCCCTGTTCGGCTTGGTCCTGCAACTCCTCGAGAGCTACAGACGGCGATGGCTTCGATGGGTCCAATGCGAAAGTCACAGCTTCCCGTAGAGCAGCTATTTCACCCTCTTCTTCCTGAATTCTCTTTTCTTTAACCTCGTGTTCCTCTATTAACACCGAAATATGATCCTCCATGGCTTGCACTTCGGCCTCCATCTTATCTGCCTCGGATAAAAGCTCTTTTAGCTGCTTCTGCAGCTCGGATACAACATTGGCATCTCTTTCAACTTCATCGCCATTCGTACCATCACCAAGACGAGCATTATCCTCACTGAACAGATGTGCCTGGTTGAGGGACTCGGGAGGCAATTGACGCGGCAGAAACTCACCATAGGTCGTAACGGCCACATTACCGTCCCGCGCACGCCCTTTCACCTTTAAATTAGATGCTGCAGAGCGTGCCCTAATCGTGTCCTTCACATTCAGCTCGAGCAGAGACGGTATGAGCGAGTGGCGCGGTTTCGCCTTCACTGTTACAAGCAATGGTTTCACTTGCTTAACGCCCTCCACAGTTTTCACAGCCGACATCCGCAGCGGGCAACTCTGAAACCGCAACATCAGGTCCCTCTCACCATCATCACCAGCCCCAGTTAGATGGTAATCACCGTGCGCTTTCGACAATGCTTCCAGCACGAGACCACTCATACGCGCGCTGTACGTCGATGCAAGGTTACTACCTCCAGTTCGAGCTTTCCGACCTTTGCTAGCTTTTGAGGACGACGCCGCTGCTGACGATGATTTCGAGAGCTTGTCAAGCAGGAAGCGCAGCAATGCGTGCGTGTCCTTGTGAGACGGGTACAGAAACTGATGAAAGCTAAGGTCACCGCGGTATCCCAGCAACTTGACCGCGGCTGCCAAATCGGTGCACACTCGAAACCGCTCCGCTGTGCCCGTAGGCAGGCTTGTAGGCACAGGGGCAGAGCCATTAGCACCATCTGCATTAAAACGAGACAACGAATTCAAAGCTTGTCCGCAGATACTGACGAGTGCGCTCGAGTTGAGTTCATTCCCTGCTTTGGCTCCGTCCGGCACCACAATCCCCGCTTGTTGCAGCGCCACCAGCACAATCTGTTGCGCATCGTCCATGGCAGCAGCCGGATCGACCAATCTAAGACCTCTTGGGCAATCAAATTCAACCCTCGTGCTCTGTAAGCAGCACTAAACCCTAAAACCTATCAAGGCTCCAGGCAGAACCACGAGTTCTGTCTGCAATTCTCGCTCGCTCAAAAAGTCGCGGCCATCGTCACCGTGGAACCCTCCGCTCATCGGTTGCGTCAGGCGATCGCCGTAGCTGTTCCGATTGCACCACAGCATTGTTGAAGCTTCCACCACCAGCGACACACTCCGATTCCATCACCTCTCCTCACCCAAACCCTAGTTCCCGTCGGACTTCTCTTCTCCACCCTCCTCTCAAATCCGATTGGCCGACGTGTCATCCTACGTGTCCAGCCTATGTGGCAACCTACGTGGCATTCTCATTCGTCGTGTTAGTGTTACTTTTTCACTCTGCTTCGACACTTTCATTAATGTTCCATGTAGTTCTAAATTGGACTGAATTGATTCACATTTTTCATTTGTTGTGCTACATTTTATTGTTTGAAATATGTTGTCTTTATAGATATATATATATATATATAAATACACACTCTTCTTTAGTAAACTCTTTTCGTTAACTCATACAACAATATCTAAAATGTCTTTTATTTTTAAAATAGAAAAATATGTTCATTATAAAGTAGTGTTTGCAAATTACTTGGGTATAAATTATTTTTTAGAAAATACCTCACATTAGACTTCGTTTTATATATAAATCAAAATGACTCAAATGTGCAAAGAATTTATGATATTGATTGATTTGAAAGTGTTATAAGGTTTTTTTAAATAATTGCTTAGTAACCTCATGGGTAACATAAAACTTGAAACTAGATTAAAATCTTTTTAGGATGTTTCATTAAAATTCAACCATGTTCATATACAGATCCTCTTCGTCTATAAATAGGAGCGCATACAATTTAGTATGCAAATGTGATATGTAAATAGGAATTCTGTTTGAAATGGAGATTTTACTTCTCATGCTCACAAGTGTCTCAATGTTTGGATAGGATATCGTTGGTCATATTTTAATTCTTTTACGTTAATTGGCTATTTTTGTATACATCAAAAAAAAAAACTTGTTATTATTTACCTTGTTGAGTCGTCACCAACTATTTTAGTATGGTTTTAACATTTTAATCACTATCATCAGTTTAATCACTTTCAAAATCATCATCATTTTAATCACTATCAACATACATATATATGCCACAGATTTTGAAATCAGTGGAGTTTAATATCACAGAACTTTTGCAGCGAACTTGCCTGAATGCAATCAATTAAATTTCTCCAACCCGGGTAAAAAATTAAGTAGTATTAATTTCGAAAAATATAACTATGGGATGAAAGTTCTGAGACACATGCTTGTATTTTGGTGGTTTTAGAACAGGTTGAAACTACTTTCAATGTAATTTCAAAAAAATCGTATTTAAAACTTTTTTCTAAAATTGAAGTTATGATTATTTTTCAATAACTAAAAAAATTCTGCATTGTAAAAACAAAAAAGAAACATTTTTTTTGAAATTGACATCCCAAAAAACTAATTAACAACACATAAAAAGCAATATCAATTAATGATCATTCGTGCTAAGCTTCACATTCAGGATTAGATACAACGTCTAAATATCTGTATTAAAAACATAATGAAATAAAATATCAATAAGATTTCCTAAAAATGATCCTTATGGGCAAAAAAGAAAAAAGAAAAATACAAATCCTACTAATTAAAAAATCTTTTTAAAAAAAGAAATAAACTCAATAGATCATTATCAAGCATTTTTCCACAGATAATATAAATAAAATTAATTTCTATTTTTAGAAGTTGTTAATCTAAAAACTATAAAGACACTGATTAAATACATCAAAATATACATTAACATAAAATTCATGAATCAGAAGATAGAATTACTACAACAAAGAAATACCTCATACCAAATCATTTGAGTTAATTAGTTCATCCATCAAATTCACAAGGGGAGTGAACTTCGTTTTTTTATTTCATTTTGCTACATTTCTTCTAAGAAGATTCTAGCCATCTTTTCACTATTAAAGCACTTTTTTGTAAATATCACTGTACATTAGGCTAACATCCTCTTTTATATTGCTCTCTAGAAAAACACTTATATTTGATGGCACCATTGCAAACAAGAATGCAATATACAAGTGACTATAGAAGAAAAAATATTTTGTTAAATTTACTCTAATGTACTTCATTTTTTGTCCTTGAGATTTTTTTATTTTTTATTATTGAATAAGCTATGTATGACAAATTTTATTTATCTTTGTTTATTTTGGCTCAAAACATAAAAGAAGACCTAAGTTTTTTAATATTTAGTGTCATTTTAGAAACAAATGCAATGTTGCCAAACTATTTTTCCATCATCTTAACTTTAATAATATGATAACTAAAACATTTGATAATTAGCTAAATTCTATTATAAAGACAATTAGTTGGATTAAGATTATACAAAAGCATCACATATGTGCCAACTTTTAATGTGAGCTTATACAAAGGCCACCTACTTATTTCTAGTGTATTCATGTATTCTATTAGAACAATCTTTGTGCCTTTCAAATCATCAACCTTAGTTGAGCTCAAAACATCTTTACTTTTTCTTGGAATTGATTCTAATATTGTTTTGTTTATCATAGTGGCTTTACCATTATGGGTACCAAAAATAGTATTTTAACCAAAAATTCCTTACCTTTTAGGCTAATTTATATATCAAGGTATGTCTTGCGAATTAAACTAAAAATATCTTGCGGACCTAAGAGCATGGATGGTAAAAAATAAACATAATCTTCTTAAATAGCCATGAGTTTATTTTCACCAAGCACAAGAAACAAATTGACAAATATTCTATCTACAAACTTGGCATGTATATCATGTATGGCAGTTGCATATATAATATTTTGCAAATAAAGAATATGAACATATCTCAAAAATTTGGATTCTTTTATTAAAGATGATCCAATCTTTGGCCTAATTTTTCTTAAAATCATTAAGAAGACTTATTTAAAAACATAAAATATGACAAAAATAAGGCCTCTAAATGACTCATTATTTTTTGGTTATGTCTTAGAGTATTATTGTATTGCATGTCGTCCTATTTGAAAATGCATTGGGCATTTGGTTGTGGAAGGTGATGTTGTGTTATACAAATATCTAAGAATCCTAATATGTTTCATCTTTATAAGAAGAATATAATCTAAATTTTAATTCAAAGGCGCTTAAATCCAATACAAAGTACTCAAAAATACTCTTCTTAGCAATCTCAACCATATATAAATTCCAATTACCTTATTACTTTCATAATTAAGAAAATTTGATTTTTCTTTGCAAGCATTAATACTAATCGACAAGCTTTAGTAAGTTGTAGCTCTTAATCTAAGTGTCCACTTAGAGAAAAAAAATTGCATATAAATGCCACTATAAGTCTTTTATGTGCTTAAAAAGAATTCACCCCAATTCAACTTACAAATTGTGAGAAAATGCCCAAAAATTATACTAATGTTACTTGGCTGCTAACTAATAAGTTGATGAAAATGTTCTAGTAGTAATTTCTCCTTCTCCAACTATTAACTTTAATTCAAAATTGGTGAGTAGCTTGATCTTTAAGTCTTCTAAAACCATGCCAAATTTCACTTTGATCCAACTAGTAGATCTTTAGATATCATAGAAATCCTACCCAATTTCAAACTGCCAACTTCAGACACCTTCTTGTATAAAAACTTACATATCTTTCAATTTCACTATTAGATTATCAAAAAAAATTTACATAAACTTGGCACACCTAATTAAGCAAGTACTACCAAATTTTTAACCATAGATGTGACACCAATTTTACGAACTAGCTGAGAGTGCTAGCCCTAATTATATTGCATAAATTCTAAGTTGCCAATACAAACCTTGACTTTGAACAACAATTTCAAAGTCAAATCAAACCCTACAAAAACAAGCCTTACATGTCTAGAAGAAGCTTTAAGCTAGCTTTCAAATCTTAATAGCAAATCTTCAACTAAAATCCTATTTTTTTCCTAGGTTGTTGTTTTAATGGCTAGAGGTTTGATTTTGACTTTGTCTTACAAATAGTCGACCCTTGGATATCAATCTAACATATCCTAGGGATTTTTAAGCCCAACCCTACCTTCAATTCAATCCTAATATCAACCATGCTAATTATTTATTTCTTTTAGTCTAATTTTATTAACTTATGGTCTTTCTAAGGCGTTAAAAGAGCCTCTACATGCTAGAAGGTAAAAATTATTAATTAAATTTTAACCTATTAATTATTAAGACAAGAAAATAAACTAAGAGACTTTTATAAAAGTCATGTTTAAATATCTTAAATTATTATTGAACAAAGATAATTAGATATTAATAATATATATATTATATTTTTATTATATAATTATATTATATTACAATAACAAATTGTCTACAACTTCAAATACTAACTTATTTATTATTAGAGCTTTATTTCAAAGAATTAATCGTATTTATTATATTAGATCTATGAGATTCACTTGTCTTTGAATATTGCAAAAGAATGAGCTATTCAATTCAATTGGAACTTTGAATTTAGAGTATATTTTCCTACCACTTTGTAGCAATAGAACATCAATCTCCAAAAATACAATTGTGAGAAAAAATTTATTATTTTTACACATAATTTTTAAAAAGAAAAAAGACAAGACTTTTTGTTTAATCTTTAATTGAGTTCTCAATTCTATATTGACTTATGCTTAGAATCATCTAAAAGAATATATATATATATATATATATATATATATAAGGGCTGTAAAGCTTGTAAAAAATCTACTAATATCCTATGCATAAGAAATGTAACAAAACTAAAATAAAATTATGTTGTTGTTTGCATTTCTACAACTTTAATTAGAGATAGCTTTTATACATCACATGTGTCATGTATGCCAATAGCTACATATATAATTCTTAATTTTTCAGGGACACACCTATGAATTTGTCATAATTCAAATAATGTGGTATCCTTGACTTATGTAAAAAATGTTTTAATAAAATATTATTTAATTATTGAGAAATTGACAAAATCTAAGCAACAAATTTTAGTGCCATAATGATGCTTTTTCTAAGCTTTTTACTTGTTATTAATTGTTCTACATAAGTTATATAATAAAATCTCCAAAGATTATTTTTTGGACTCTTTGGTATGATCTTGTTTGTCTCAAAGAACTCAATCAATATAATTTTTATAATCTTGTGTGATTAAAAATTTATCTAATATTATTATTTTTATTGAATAATTTTT